CTGGATGGGACTGGAGACTATTATTCTAAGTGAAGTAACTCAGGAATGGAACACCAAACACCGTTATGTTCTCACTCATAAACGGAAGCTAAGCTGTGAGGATGCAAAGGCATAAAAAATGATATAATGGACTTTGGGGACTCAGGGGGAAAGAAAGGGAAGGGGGTGAGGGATAAAAGACTACAAATTAGGTTCAGAGTATACTGCACGGATGATGGGTGCACCAAAATCTCACAAATTGCCTCTAAAGAACACTCAAATAACTAAGTACCACCTGTTCCCCAAAAACCTATGGAAATAAAAATATTTTTAAAAAAGAATAGTTTTAATTCTTTGGAGTTATTTTGGGGATCCAGTAGAATGATACTATTAAAGTTCTTGGCATGATACCCGTCATGTTCAATATAGAGAAGCTATCTTGCTATCTTTATTGTTAGGCTTAAATACATATCTTGGTGTATAATTTCTTTACACAAAATTGGAATCATACTTTTGAGTTCCTTATTTCATCTTTGCCACATTAATATGATACTATAAACATTTTGCTATGTAGTGGTAGTTAAAAGCATGAATACAAATTAAAGGTAGACAAAAATACACAACTTCAAGCAAATATATAACTTCTCTGGGCCTCAATTTTCTCAACCTTGAAGTGGAATAATCATAGCAACTGTCTCAAGAGGGCTATTATGAAAATTCAGGCAAAATTCTTAGTGCAATATTTGGAATATGCCAAAAACACATTTAATACAACTATTATCTGAAAATCACATTACATAGATGTGCACATTTATGTTCTTTCTAATCTTTTGCAACAGTAAATGGTAAAATCTTGGTCTCTGTCTTGCTTATGAGTCTTGGTCAATGTCTTTAGTTGTTTCCTTAAATACAAGGGCTAATATATTAAGCCTGGAACCCTTTTATTTTCAAGTAAAATCTCAATCAGTGGGGATGGTAAATAAACCTATAAATAAAGGGGTGCTCAGAGACTGAAATAAATGGTAAAACAGGCAAAAAAATTCTGCATGCTTTTCCTTGGTAAACTGAGATGGTGCTCCTTATGAGAGAATTTTTAAAATCACTGAGCAAAAAACAAATCAATAATATTAAAACTTTTTCTCTCACTAGAATAAACAATGGATTGGCTGTATATGGTTTTGCTGGTGCTGTACTGTAGGCAAAGACAAAACAATAGCAATGTGGCTATTTAAGCATTCCATATTAAGAAGAAATTCAAGTACAATGAGCCCCTAATTCTTTTACAAAGATGCCAAGAAGCTAAACATAAATAGTTCAGTTAACTCCATGTAATACAAATGGTCAATAGATTTTAATGCCACTGGATCTAAGACTTAAGAAATAAGCTAGAATGTTCGTAAGCCCATTCTACCAGGGAAAGTGAAATGTGGTTTTGGCTGCAATTACCTGATTTTCTATGATTCTCTACTATTTTCGCATTCCTACAGTCAATCTATTCACAAGTATGAGTCAAAGAAATGCTGCTTCTATCATAATTTGACTGGAAATGTCCCATAGCAAACTTAAAGCTTCAACTGAAGTTCCTAAAATGTAACTTCCTATTCATTTTTATCTAGTCAAAGTGATGTCACCATAATTTAGGCAAAACATCCATAATGTTTTCACAATTCAAATAAATCAAAAAATTTTAAACATTAGATCCAAATAAGATTAGCTATGAAATTTTAAATGAATGTGTTATATAAAGAGATAACCAGTTCAGTTCTAACATTCAGATTTCTGAGGTTTTCTAAAACAATTAACTCCACTGAAAAAACAGAACAATAAAACATAAAATGTGCTTTAGTTTGCCTTTACATAAAAAGTTTCTTTGCAAATTTGAAATATTGAAAAGTAAATATAAAACAAAACAACATAAATTAGTACAAATAATATAAATTACATGGTAGAAAACTCACAATGTAAATTATGAATTTAAACTTCTCCAAGCTTTCCAGGGTACAATACTCTGCATCGAAAGTATCAAGCCTGAAACTGCAGCTTGTTTTTAAAACAGGTGTCCAAGAGAATGTCACTTGATCTAAAGCCTTCTTGCTTGGGTAAGTAATACTGACACTGAGGCCAAGAACTAGAATTATGCTTTGACTAGGCCTCTGAACTGACCACAATCGATTCAAGCTGCTTAAGCATTTGAGCACCAGGCAAATGTGCTATGTTAATTACTGCTACATGATCTTGACATGAACTAATCCCCATTCCTATTAACTTTCTTAGTAAATTAAGCTTTAATGCTTAACTGATAACAAGTGCTGGATAATTCAGAACAATATAAAATTTAACAGATGAGGGAGCAATAAATGATGGCTACTCATGTTAGCATAATACATATTTATTTTACATGGCAGGATGATTGTATATTAAAATTGCATCCTGGCCTGGCATTAAATTTAAAACCAAGGCAGGTAGGGGTGGTGAATGTAATTTCTACTTTGATCTTCATATTTTCTCCATACTAAGTATGTTTTTTAGAAGTGCCGGAAGTGGTGGTTACAGGATATCATGAAATTTGATAACTAGACAACATGAATCAGCAAATGATGTGGTATGACATTTTGTTAACTCACCCAGTAATTACTTGCTTACAACAGCATACAAATAACAGCAGAGACTCCTGTCTCCACAAAGGGTGTTTTTATCCAGAATATAGTTTCCCTAAGCATCAGTCTAGGCAACCAAAATACTATAACTTATAGAAGCAATGTTACAAGTCAGAGTTTGTTTCTATTTTATTGGTATTAAACAAAAAATATAACAGCTAAATGTAGGTAGTAATTAAAACATTGCTTTCTTTATTAGGATAAAGCAGCAACATACTAGATCTTACATTAAATATTTCTGTAAGACAGAGACCCCATACTAGTACTTCTAGGAAAATAACTAACCAAATTGACATTATGGCCTAAATGATGAATGGGTCTAGAGTCAGGCGTGATCTATGCAGTTAAACATTTACTGAATGCCTCCTGTGTGCTGAATGCTGCACTAGACTTTGGAAACCTCTACTGATTTTCCCTTTCTCCCCATAACCACTATGACTACTCCCACTGCTTCTGGCTCATTCTTACTAAGCAGACACTCACTCTGAAAAATACAATTTAAATGAAAAATAACAGCTTAAAAAATACTGCATTATTCTTCCATTTTTGTAAAATACTCTGTCCTTATGAGTGAATGTTTTAAAAGTCTGAAAGAAAATAGTAGTAACAGTTACTTTGGGAGGTGGGATTATGTGTGAAATTTGTTTTTTGTTTTCTGTGTTTTTTGTTTGTTTTCTACGTTTTTAAAATGTCATAATGAACACTGACTACTTTTAAAATAAAAAAAAATCTATTCAATTTTGAATGACATACTGTGTGCTATGTTCTTGAAATATATATTATTTAATTAATAGTAGGCTAAAGAGAGGGGTATTTATATTTGATTCTTAAATGAAGTATTGAGGTTTCCTGGCTCCATTTTAAACATTATCTAGAAACATTATGCTATAATTATATAATAGAAGAGATGAAAATGTAATTAAGTTTTAATCTTATTCAACCTCAGAGAAGTCATTGTTTCAATTATTTCAAAGTAGGACAAATTTAAAAAGAAGAGAGTCTGAAAAAATCACTTTAAAGGATCATTTGTTCCTGCCAACAAGGCAACTCACAAAGTGCAACAGCTCCTTGGGGTGGGATGCCTGCAATCAGCACTGCTGCCTACACTGCCAACATTCTAAAAGCCCCTTATTCAGAAATACGCAGAGATTCAATAAGCTGCAGTACAGTGCATTCTTAAGGTCTCTGAGACTTCTTTCTTCTTGTAACTTAAGAGACAATGAAATAGATTTGGATAAAACATACATATACATACATATATATATTTTTTAAGGTGGAGTCTCGCTCTGTCGCCCAGGCTAGAGTGCAGTGGCACGATCTCGGCTCACTGCAACCTCTGCCTCCAGGGTTCAGGGGATACTCCTGCCTCAGCCTCCCAAGTAGCTGAGACTGCAGGCATGCAGCACCACACCCAGCTAATTTTCGTATTTTTAGTAGAGATGGGGTTTCACCATGTCTCGATCTCCCGACCTTGTGATCCACCTACCTTGGCCTCCCAAAGTGCTGGGATTTACAGGTGTCAGCCACTGCGCCTGGCCCTTTTATTTTTGAGATGGAGTCTTGCTCTGTTGCCCAGGTTGGAGTGCAGTGGTGCAATCTCGGCTCACTCCAACTTCCACCTCCCACATTCAAACAATTCTCTTGCTTCAGCCTCCTGAGTAGCTGGGACTACAGGTGCATGCCACCACACTCAGCTAATTTTTTGTACGTATTTTTAGTAGACACGGAGTATCACCATGTTAGCCAGGCTTGTCTCGATCTGCCCTCATGAATAGCCCACCTCAGCCTCCCAAAGTGCTGGGATTACAGACGTGAGCCACTGCACCAGGCCCAGATAAAACATATTTTAAAGAAGCAGGTCATAACCTAATTCAACATTCAAAACATTTATGAATAGGTCTGAAGGTACATTTCAATGCCTGTCTACTCAAAAATCCAATCTTCTTTTTCTCTAAGGCTCAAAGTTCTTTAATGTCACTAGTTATTTTTCATCTAAATGAATGTCCTCACTTCCATAATTTGTAGAATAATGAAATTAGAATAAGTGATTTTCAGGGCCCCTTTGAATCTTAAAATTTTATTATTCTCCAAAAAACCACATCAATCAGTTTTTCTTCAGTTCTAATAGGAATTGATAACTGATACCGAATACAATTAGTACTTTTATTTTCACAGAGCTCAGTATTACCTTTCATTAAAATAGTTTCTAATAGATATTCATATTTATCTACTCCATAATTAGTACTCTATAGGATTATGGCAAGAATATTTTCACTAATTATACTACACATATTTCAAAATGCAAAAAAAAACCAAAAAAAATGGCATTAAGTACTTTCAAGAAAATTTCAAAAAACAACCAACCTGATGACCTGGTTACAGTGGGCACACATTGGAGTTCGTTTCCCTGCTGGAATGTGCTCAGCTCTTTGCACTAAAGTGTCCTGGTCGCTTGGCTGAGGTTGTCCCAAAGCTGAGTTGGCTGGTGCCACTGCTCCTGAGGAAGTAGCACTGTTTGAGATTCTTCCAGTGGAAGGTACTAGGAGTTAAAACAGAAGAATCAGAATGAGAATAAGCCACATACAAATTTTTCCTAACAATTAAAATAAAATTATTATTTTAATAATAATCTATTCACTTGTTATTCTCTCACATTTACAGTGAAGTGATGAATCAAACACTGGGCTGTGACCATGCAAATGAAAAGGAAAGAAAACCAAAGATTCCAACATAGTGAAAGAATTATGACAGATATATGTATAGAATGTTTTAAGAAAAGGGCCAGGTGCGGTGGCTCAGCCTGTAATCCCAGCACTTTGGGAGGCCAAGGCGGCTGGATCACGAGATCAAGAGATTGAGACCATCCTGGTCAACATGGTGAAACCCCGTCTCTACTATAAATACAAAAAATCAGCTGGGCGTGGTGGCGCGTGCCTGTAATCCCAGCTATTCAGGAGGCGGAGGCAAGGGAATTGCCTGAACCCAGGAGGCGGAGGTTGCGGTGAGCCGAGATCGCGCCATTGCACTCCAGCCTGGGTAACAAGAGCGAAACTCTGTCTCAAAAAAAAAAAAAAAGAGAGAAAAGCATCTCCTCTGCTTCTAACAGGAGATGGTTACGGTGAATGTTGAAGGTGAGTTATTTCTAGTTATCTAGACATTTCTGCTAACCATTAATTAGATTTAATTCCAAATATAATCATAGACACATTAAAAATCCCAATGTGTTGAAGATAACAAAACCAAAAATTAACTCACTATATTCTCTCTGTTCCTGTATTCTCTAAATAGACTGTGCAACCAATCACCCAGGAATAGAAGGCAGATATATAAGCAGCATTCTTGCCCCTTCCTCCCCGTCCTTTGTAGTAATAGGTCCTGCTGGTTTGATACTACATATTGTTCTTGACTTTGCCTCCTCTTCCCCATTCCTATAATACTGCCTTAATTTAGATCTTCAACATCTCCCACCTCAACCAGCTACCAAAAATGTCTTGTCCTGCTTAAATTCATCCTCCCATCTGCCACCTACGACTGAAATCTTACCCAACAGCATTTAAAGATCTCCCTATTTGACCCCTAAATGTAGTCCCTGCTTCCATGTGCTGCATACAAATCTCCCAAGTGGTTTCTGCTTGCCCCACAACGTCATCTTACATTGCCCATTGCCTTTCACTTTATGCTCCACAACACTAAACTGCCTCACTTTTTCTTGTGAATCTATGCTCAGGCTAGATTCTATGCTCAGGCTGTTTTCACCATCAGTAATGCCATTTTCTATCCTTCTTCCTATTAACCTAGTAACCACTACTTTATTGTTTAAGTCTCAGCCCAGAAATCAACTTCTCCAAAAACTATCCTTGAATTGCATTTCTCCCCAACCTGCTCCATATAATCACGATTAAATGTTTCTCTTCTATGTTCTCATAGTTTTCTGTTAATGTCTTTATTACTGTTTTTGCTACATATTTCTGTGCCTTTCTTTCCCCCAACTAGATAGTACACCCCCTGAGAGCAGAAATTATGTCTTTTTCATCACCCTAGCAACTTAACAGAGTCTGAAGAGAATGAATGAATGAATAAACTGGAATCAATAGATAAGTGAAAGAATGAGAAAACAGTGAGGCATTGAAACCAACAGATGGCCTGCTCCTTAGCCATAGGCAATTAAAAACCCATGGAAGAGAAAAAGTGTGCATGAAAATAGTCTAAAAGGAACAACTTTTAAGGAAAGCACACAAATAATACAAATTAACAGTGTATTTATATAGATAAATATACAGGTATTTACATAAATAGACATATATATGTGTATACACATTGACAGTATCTATATTGAAGTATAGTTGGAATTGGGAAAGATTAATTAGGATAATTGATAAGTAATTCTCCCTTATTAGAGTGAAGCCTGTTTGCAATAATGTGCAATTACAGATCCAGAAACCCAGCATTTATAGACACTTCACACATCTGCAGTGCGCTGCCTGGCACTTGATCTGTGAAACGGCACTTTCAGGCCAGGGATCTCTACTATTGCCCATGTTTCAAGTGAGTCAACTGGACTAGAAACATGTTTCCATTCTCTTAGACCCACACTTTCTCTTATAGAAATGGGGAAGAAAAGTACTATAATATTCACTTGGTACACTACTTTCTTGTTACCTACTCATGCAGCCCAACTATTACCTCTGTGCATCTTTAATTTCTTTATCTAGGCCTGATTTCTCCTAGAGCACCAAATATGTATTCTCAAGGGCATTTTCAACTCTACCACCAGTTATTATCTTTAAATTCAATACATGTAAAAAGGATGTCCTCTTCTTGCACATATTACCAGCTCTTGCCAAGAACACCTAGATGCTTGAATTCTCCCATTCACGCAGCATGGAATTCTGCCTCCTATGGCCCTAAGGGTTAGTCCCCAGACCCTAACAACTGTTTCATAGAAAATGTTTCTTTCTCAGGTCTGTCTTTCCTTTCTCATCCATTCCTATCCTCTATCTTTTGAACTGTGGTCTTGAATTCCTCAAATCTGTACTATTGCGAGTCTCCTAACCACTCTCTCTGCTGCCACTCTCCTCTTCTACCTATTCTGCTACATTGTTTTTCCAAAAACACTACTCTGATCATATATTCCTGCTTCTAAAATAAAGCCTTTGTAACTCATTACGAACTATAGGTGGTCTTGAAAGTTGAGTCCCTCAATGAGTCCACTCCAATCTTCTATAAAATCTTGTCCTTTGTGTTTCCTCACATATCACTGCCATCATCTTCAGACTAAATTAGAGTTATTAATATTTAGTTTGTGCAATTATTTAATACTATTTGAAGGTACTTTTTTTTTTTTTTGAGATAGAGTCTTGCTCTGTTGCCCAGGCTAGAGTGCAATGGCATGGTTTTGACTCACTGCAACCTCCGCCTCCCAGGTTCAAGCAATTCTCCTGCTTCAGCCTCCTGAGTAGCTGGGACTACAGGAGCCCACCACCTTGCCCAGCTAATTTTTGTATTTTTAGTAGAGATGGGGTTTCATCATGTTGGCCGGGCTGGTCTTGAACTCCTGACCCTGTGATCCACCTGCCTTGGCCTCCCAAAGTGCTGGGACCACAGGTGTGAGCCACCGTGCCTGGCCTTGAAAGTACTATTCTTAAATCCTTACAAAAGCCTTGTGATTTTGGTATTAGTACTACTTTTTTAATTTATAAGGAATCTGAGGCAAAGAGAGGTTTAAAAATCTGCCCAAAGTCACACAGCATGTAAAAGTCTTGAACTTGGGCTGTCTGGCTCCCGAGTCTGCTCTTAAACTATGCTACAGTTTATTCACTATCCCTTGCATATGCCATACCAGCCATTACCTCTGTGACCCTCAGCCAAGGAAATGGCTCTTTTTCCACTGCTACTTACAGTTTTCCCATTCTGTAAGGCCCACAGAAATTTCATTTTGGAGAAAACTTCTCCAAAGTCTTCTCTGACCACCCCAGTTAGAAGTTAACATTCTCCACCTGTATAATTTATTAGCTGTTTATCAATATCCTGCCAATATCTTTTCCTCCCTAAATTAATTATTAATTACTTAAAAATGAGTACAAACTCTATATACTTTTTCTTACAGCCAGAAAATTGCCTTCCAAAAAAATGATGAAAAAATAGTATCTAACCAATTAAATGAAAAAACGAAGATTCCCAATCTTTTCTTCTTCTTCTTTTTTGCATTTGTAAAGAAGACTATACAGATAGATGCTTTAAAAATGTGGATTAGGTTCAGGATTTCAAATAATGGGACAGTAACCAATTGGAAAATCTGAAAATCAGACTTCAAAGAAAGCCAAATCCTTTCATCTAACATATGCCTTTATTTTATCACATTAATTATGCATAAGCTCTAAAGTACTGAGTCACTGAGACACTTTTAGCAATAAAAGAGTGTGGTGATTCTCCATCATGATGGTCATTGTAAAATGGGACATAATCCATGTGTCCCATACCTCAAGGAGAAGGTATATGGGGAACTAACTTACTTAGCATGAGAAGCCATTCTTAAACATGAAACATGCGACTGTATCTTAAACACACATAAAGAGGCTCTCAGCTCTACTGCTATTCCTTTCTTGGGATGAAGAGCTTTGCTTTCTGTTACTGTCCCATTTTAACCACTTTGGAAATGAAATAAATTCTCACACCTCCATTTGTTGCTGTGTTGTTAGCACATTGGCCCGTACACAAAGCTATACAAGCTCTATTAATTACCAAGTCCTGAACATTTCCAAGGCACAGTTATTTCCCGTATGAATAAAGTAATGTTTCATTCCTTCAGACTGAATTTCGCACTGCTCCAGCACAGGAATGGGCAATCTGAGCAGTCAAGTGCCAGCCTCCTAGTTGCTGCTCACTTGGCTTATGGGGAAGACGGAAGCTAAGAGGGTGAAATCTTGGGAGAGCGGAAGTACCATAAATGAGCCCTGCTTCAATTATAATTTTGTAGAGAACTACACTACCATACTAAGAAAACCAGTCTTCCATGGGTAACACATTGACCAAAATGCTTCAAATGCATTGAACCCACTACAAAAACCATCTACTTTTATGTAGGAAAAAAAAAATACTTCTCTTTAGAGATCGCTTAAGGATGAGAATCTACTTGTTTGTAATGTTTTTTTTTCTCTTAAGTTCTAATGATAACATTAAACAGGAGAACTGAATCAGCCTCATTTCACAATCTAGGAATGTAAGTCACAAAAAATGTGACTTATTCGAACTGAATAATGAGCAAGTCAGGAAGCTGTTACGATGAGAACATTAGGAGGAAGTTGATTCTTGACTCAAGATTTCCTTTTTAACCTTAAGCTTGAGCAACTTTCATTAAATATTGGCTTCTTTTATGGCTAATCTCTACTCCCTGGGAGCTTGTTTGAAAATTACTTTTTAAAATCTTTTGTACGAAACACATTTCGCCACCAGAAAACTGTAAATTCAAATCCATTAGCTTCTCTCCAAACCAACAGTGTTGGTGAGAATCTCTTTCATTAACTTTAGAATTGCTATTTA